TAATATAAGATGTTATTGCTATAAGTATAATTTAAGGTTTATTATTTATGAGTAGTTATTAGTTATTATTATGTGTGTGATTTGTTCAGCTTATAAGTTTTATTTTGCTTATATATATATATATTTTAATTTTCGTTTTAAAAATTATTATTATTATATAAATACTAGATATAATAATTATATGTAAAACTTTAATTATACAAATATAGATAAGAGATAAATTAAACAAGTTAGTTAAAAAGGTTAGGTGAATAGTTTTGAATCTCTATATTTGCTAGTTAACTTAATATTTACGTATTTTTTTACTCATTATTTACTTATTTTTCTATAGTTTAAATATGATATTTATTCAAATAAATAAAATACATATAAATAACAAATGTATCCATATGCAATACTCACCTCTAGTCAAAACCCAAATGAATGAAACTACTACCCTTTAAATAGGCATGTTTATTTAGATACTACCTTGTTCAACTTTAAAATGGTTATAAGAACTTTAAATGCCACCCCCAAAACAATTATTTTAACGATATTAATTAGAGACTAGGACAATTAAAGTTTAATAGGGAAGTATTAAAAATGAAAACTTAATATTTGTTTAAAATCAATTTTTAACACTGAGAATTAAAAATATAACTTTATTTAATAATATTTAAAATACTTTTTTATTTTTTTAATAATCATATTTAGATTGATATTTGTCAATTTGATCTTAAAATAATAATAATAATAATAAGCCCTTAAAACTACATCATTTCATTTTTTTTTATTGATACGATTTATTTTAAAATGCGTTTTATTTATAAGTTTTCTAAGAAAAAATATCCTGAGAAGTCAAGCAATTTTTTTTGGCTTGGCTTCAGATCCTAACACAAGATTTAAGAGGGATATAATGGGTCATATCTCCTTATAACTAATAACAATATCAACTTTCTAAGGATCTTGTTTCCAGTCAAGATATCTAAAAATATTTCCCTCTTGAGAAACTTATCTTTTTT